TTTCCTCGTTTTAGGGTAAAATTGTTGCCCAGGGCAAGCTGCTCTTACAGGACACGTTCTTGGTCACAGACCAAGATGCAGGGCTTCTGCCTCGCTGCAAAGAGAGGCGGGTTTTCCTCTTCGAGCAGATCGTCATTTTCAGTGAGCCACTGGACAAGAAGAGGGGCTTCTCCATGCCAGGGTTCCTGTTCAAGAACAGCATCAAGGTAGTGCGTGCGTGTCTTCTCTCGTGCGAACACAGCTGCCCATAGCTCGGACTGACTGTCTCCTTTTAATGACAGGCCCTGATATTTTGTTTACTAAATATTTGGCATTTGAGAGCCTTTAGATTCACAGCACCCATCTCCTGTCTGCCTTCTCCAGTGGTGATGTCTTGCCATGCTTCTGTGTGACCACAGCCAGCCTTTTTTCCACGATGAAGACTTGTTGTCGCTGGGTTCGTGCTACAGAGTTCAGAGGCAGAGCTGGCATGTTGCTCTTTGACCTCAGCAGAGAGCTGGCCCTGCGGCCTGTTCTTTCCTGCCTTCCACAGGGACTCTCAGTGCATGGCTGGGGCTGCAGGGTGCCCTGGGGTGGCTTGCTCTCTGATAGGAGAAAAAGACAAACTAATTGCTAATGGCCCTGAGTCCTCCTATAAAGGGGACAAGCCAAGGAACCAAGAATGAGATAGAGAAAAGCAGAAGAGGAGGCGTGGGGTCCCAGCAGATGGGAGATACAGTCAAACACACACACACCCAGTTCTTTCTGCCTCTGCAGCTGTGCAGGTCCCAAGGTCAGAAGGGAGACATACTTTCTTGTGTTAGGGTCGCTGCCCTAAGCTGACAGGGTCCCCCTTAGACACTCCGAGCCCTGAGGCCTCAGCGCACAGGTTGATGCCACACCCTCTTCCATCCACCTCCCCGTTAGGCATCTGTTGCGACCTCTAGCAGCCTCACTGTGTGCACCCTCTTTGGCCTGGGGGAAGATCTTCTGCCCACCACACATGAGAGGCCTTAGAGCCAGGCAGCATGAAGCTGGGCTGCAGGCCCCCTCCTATCTCACACCACCCTCCGGCCCATCCCTCCCCAGCCATCTGAGGCGCCCCCATGGACATCACTGGGCACCCGTCCATCACCTGCACTTCTCACCCATTCTCTCCATAAGTCTCTTGACAGAAAATCACTCTCACCATAGAAATTCTCTTTATACGCTGATTTACATATTCTGCTTCAGGAAAATTGTTTTACATCATTTACATGCCATGTTAACTTTTACATGCCAAAATTAAAGTTAACACATGTAACTTTATAGCATGTGTTATATTAATCAAGATGTTTAAATGGTGTCATTTCCTTCCTGGGGAAGTGACAAACACTGGGTCACTGTATAGGAGTTTTGAAAACAGGTAATCCCAGACCTACATTTCTAGTTAATTGTTCAAGCTACTAGTTAAACTCCTGGTAATCCCCATGTACCAAAGTGAGGTTGTTTCAATTTTTACCTAGAATGAAATTTACTTTGCACCTCACCAGTAGGAAAAAAATGTGCCTTATTTTCTTTTTACTGTAAAATACACATAACATAAAACGTACCATGTTAATCATTTTTAAGTATATAGCGCAGTGGCATTAAATACATTCACATGTTGAGCAGCCATCACCACCTCCCTCTCCAGGACTGTTTTCATCTTGACTAAAACTCCATACCCATTAAACACTAACTCCCTGTTCCACCTTCCCCAGGCAAGATAACTACCATCCTTTCTCTCTCTCTGAATTTGACTGCTCTAGGGGCCTGGTCTGGTGAAATCATAACCGTGTTTGTCTTTTGATGACTGGCTCCTTTCACTTGAGCTTAATGTCCTCCGGGTTCATCCAGGTGGTAGCATGTGTCAGAATGTCCTTCCTTTTTAAGACTGAATAATGTTCCATTTTGTGGAGAGACCACATCTCGTTCATCAACGTTCATCTGTTGATGGACACCAGGGTTGCTTCCACCTTTGGGCCATTTGGAGTAACGCTCTAATGTTTTCCAGGTGAGTTGCCTTTGCCTAGAAGAAAACGTGGAAAATGATCCCTGTAAATTTGCTCTGACATCGAGGACGGGTGACGTGGTGGAGACCTTCGTTTTGCATTCATCCAGTCCGAGTGTCCGGCAAACATGGATCCATGAAATCAACCAAATTTTAGAAAACCAGCGCAACTTTTTAAATGGTAATGTGTGCTCTGTCACAGGGCATGTCTTCTTTTCCTAATGTACACGTTTCTATTCCTCTTCTCGCTCTTGCCACATACAAATGATAATGACAGGCCTGGCTTAGCCCTCACTGTCAGGCACCATTCTCAGCACTGTCCACATATTGCTTCATTCCCTCTTCACAGCGACTCTGTGTGGCAAGTACTCCTAATCCCATTTTACAGAAGAGGAAGTCAAGGTCAAGCGGCATTTGGGGCCACATAGCAATGAGCTTCCTGGGTGTTAACTCCAAGCTCCTGTCCAGATTGTAGACCAATCATATTTTACATTTGCAGTTAGAGTTAGATGTATGGGGTCAGGGGACGACGGTTCTTATGCGAGTAGAGCAAATGCAGTGAGATCTCTTTTAATGCGTTGTTAAGTGCTGTGTTAAATACCAGTCTGTGGCATGTAACTATTGGGAAATCTCTAAACTTTTACCTTCTCTCTTTAATCCTCACCTGAGGATATGTTTTTTATTTACTTTG